GGGGGGGTCCTTGCCGGGGGGCCGGGACCGCGGCCGTCTGCGCGCCGGGGGTGCCGAGCGCCCGCTTGGCCGGAGTGTCGGCGGCGCCCGGGGAGGGCGGGCCGGCGGGCGCGGCGCCCATCAGGCCGCTGCAGCGCTTGATCTGCTTCTGCAGGTACTTGCGGTGGTTCACCTTCCGCTTGGACTTGCTCGGCTTGTCCAGGGCCAGCTTGATGTTGCTGGACGCCGAGTCGATGAAGCTGAGCAGGTCGCGGGTGGCCTCGCGCGCGTCCCCGCCCTCGGTGCCCGCCAGCAGTGCGCCCGCCGGCATCCCGGGCTCATCGTCCTCGAAACAGCAGCCCTTGTCCAAGGCTCCGAAGGCGCCCCCCAGCCCGTCCGGGGAGCCCCCGAAGCCGAAGGGGACGAAGGGGTGCGTGCTGAGGAGCGCCGCCTGCACCGCCATTGCCTCGTCTCCCCCTCGGCCCGCAGCGCGGCCGGTGCGCCCCCGCCCGGTTCCCGCCCGCTGCCCAGGCCCGGATCCCGGATCCCGTCCCGGCGCGGCCTCCTAGCTCCCGGCCGGCTCGCTGCTCGGCCTCCCGGGGGAGCTCATTAGATCTTGTAAGGGAGGGACACAAGGAGGGAGCGCGCGGCGACCGCCCCAGTGGCGGAGGGGAGGGGCTTACTGAGCTGGCTGGAGGGGGGGTGGTCTGCTTTTCTAATTTTCTGGCCTTTCTCAAGCTCATCGCTTTAACCCCTTGGTTTCCCTTCACTCCGCGGGTTTCTCTTGGCTACTTCCCACCGCCAGACGTGAGGATGGGACCGCCCCTCGGAAGACCTGGGTTTCACTCCCAGCCCTGGCCACAACAGCTCCAGCTACTGGGCACTTGCTTATGCCCTGTGACGTCCATTCTTTGCCTCCTTTAATCTTTGAGCAATAGCCCTGAGGGGTACATGTGATTATCACCATCTAACAAATGAAGAGACTGAGCCTTGGGGAGTTTCAGTGAGTTGGTCAAAGCCATCTCCAGTCTAATCTGACTCCAGAGCCATTCTAAGCCCCAGACAAAACCTGTGGTCTCTCTTGGCCTTGTTTTATTCATCTGTAAGTTGGGGGAAGGACACTTGTGTCTCTTCAAGCTCTAGCCTTGGTGCTAAGATTCTAACTGGTGTTTCCACAGGACTCTCAACTTGGGTGCTCTTTCTTCTACTCAATGATTGTCAGAAGTAACAATTGGTGTATAGAAAATTGAGGCCAGGCTTAGCTCATTTTGTATTAGTGGTAGATAGCAGGAGGCAAGGGAGAAAGGAGTTGCTCCCACTAAGCCAGCTGGTGCTTGAGAAAGCTCTGTGTGTATAAAACTCTCAGCATCTTCGAACAAAATATGGATTGGAATCTATAAGTCATACCATTTAGGTTGTCCTTCTGGAACTTCTGTTGCATTTCAAGAATCACCTTGAAGTTCACTTAGACCCAATTTCACCTGGGCTATCCTCTTGGGATAGAGAAAATGAACAATATGGTAAAACGTGGAAGATGATTCAGAAAAGACTTGGGTTCTGGTCTTAGCCCCACCACTCAATAGCTCTTGACTTGGGTTGAAATCCTTGCTCTGATGAGGATGGATTTGGGCAAACCAGTTGACCTCTTTCTGACTTAGCTTATTCATGTAAAATGCAGGTGAGGTTGCCCACCTCACAGGGCACTTGTGATATTTAAAAGAAACTTCCTGTGAAAAATTCTCATCTGTTGACTGTTCCATAGCCTGTGATGAGTATTTGCCTTTATTTCTCTAAAACACACAAAAAGTTACTTTCTTCCCTTATGTATCTTCTCTATCACATTGTGTTCATGAGGATTAAATGAGATCACATATATGAAAATACTCTGTATTCTCTAGTTAAGTTTTTGTAGGTTAGGTACAGAGTCTGCATGGGGTAGATATATACCATCTCTTTCAAAGCTTTTTTCTTTAAACCCCATTTTTCAGAACATAGTAAAAACCATTAGTGAGTGCCCTGAAGGCACACCCTTATCAAAGAAGAAAGGCTAGATGAACTCTCTTCATTTAGAAGAAGAAGTAGACACTTCCCAAGCCATCATAGCTTCAACAAACTACTTTTTAAATTCAAGTTGGCTCAATTATAATGTATCTTTCATTTGGATTTATACACACAGGTTTTTATCCTTTGTGTCTGGACTATCTATTTTGTTCTTGGTGGTATTTGCACTCAGAAAAATTGTGTAGGCCTGGCCTTGAATTGTACTTCTCACCCCTCAGGTGTGGATGTCAGCTCTTCCCTTCCCCTTCCAGACAGGACCATTCCGTAGGGTCTGGCAGCCAAGAACACTAACTTTTTCTTTTCTTTCTTTTTTTTTCTTTTCTTTTTTACCTTCTTTCAACTGATCAGCTCTTGCAAACCCCGACACAGATTTCATGGGAAAATACATTTAATTTACATCTTTAGTCTGAAATATCTCTCTTAATACCCAAAGAGTTAGTTAAGCCCTAATATAACATATTCAAAATCAATGGAATATGGAAAGATTCATATGTAAAAGTCTCTAAATTTCCAGATCATGCGTGTTCTAAGCATCAAAGTGGATTTGGACTTAGATGAGGCGAGGCTCAAACTCTGGCCTGCCATTTGCTAGATGAGTACCCTTGTTTAAGTCAGTTCATCCTCCTAAGACTCAATTTCCTCATCTGAAAAATGGGAATAGTCATAGCTATTCTCAGACTCTTTGTAGGAATTACATGACACAACAAGGGAGAAATAATACCCCCGAATCTTAATTTTTTCTATTGGTACAATGGAGATCATCCCTTCACCTCAAAATTGTTTTGAAATGGTATATAGGAAAGCTCCTGGCACAAAATATGGTCTCCACAAATGTCCTGGCTTTTGATTCCTTTGACACCACTCATTTCTTACCAACATCCCCCTATAAAATCAGCATCAATTGTTCTTTCCCCCAACAAAGTGAGTGACTATTTTCAGATGCAAGAGAGCAGCAATACTTGCCAGTTATAGACATTTAGAAAAAGGCAGTGTAATATAGTAGAGAGGGTGATGAAATTAGAGCCAGAGATTGAGATTGAAGAGCAATCTAACCCTCTATTATCCAACTGACTATAGAAAAGTCACTTAATCCTCTAGACCTCAATGTTCCCATCTAGAAAATGGGAATAATAGTGAGTATGAGGTAGTTGACCAGGCTATTGTGAAAATCAATGAGATAATAGAGTGAAAGTTCTTTGTCAACCATAAAGGTCCATATAGAAATATCAGTTTTTCATGGCATGTAAGTTCTGTAGCCTGATTCACAAAATTGAATTTTACACATAAAATATGCATCCAGTCACTCATTCATTCAACTGAAAGATACTAACACCAACAGTGTGCTCAGCAGTGTACTCCTATGTTGAATTAAGAGATAAGCCATGATTTCTACCCTTTCTGATGGAAAGACAGACCTGCAAACAAGTCACTATCATGTAATATGATACTTCTCATTGGAATTAAATTAAAGGTACAATCATTGATCGAATAAAAGGACCTTCAATTCAGCCCAGAAAACTTGGGGAAGGCTGCATAGACAGGTAGTAATTGAGCTTAGAGTTTGTGCCAAGCAAAGAAACAATATCTCTGGGAACAGTCTAGGCAGAGGCATAGTCATATCAAAGCAATGGTGTTTATGGACACTACAGATAATAAGGCAACAAATAAAATGGCTTGAAATAGCTCTATACCTACAACCGAAATAAGTCCTTGAAGTTTCCAATATTTAACTAAATTGTACATGTAGACCCCAGCTCACGGTCTCCATTGCTTTCTTCCTTGATCTTTCCTTTAGGGAAGAATTCTGGGATAAAATTTGTTTCAACAAAGTCAGTGGCCAGCTCCTGCCAGGCCCATCAGCCCCTCCTCCTATACCCAGAGTGAGCACACGCTCTTGAGTGGCTTTGACATCAATACATTTCACTTCCTCTGAGGCAGAAGGAGCCCGCTTCAGGCTGCACTAAGGGCCTCTCTGCAGAGCTCCAAACTAGAGTTCTTTTGCTCCAGTGATACCTAATGCTGAGCAAGTGGGATTAGTCTCCTTGGGAACCAAGCCCCCAGGGGCTCAAGAGTTGAACTCACCCCAAACTGTTTGGGAGAATTGAGATTTCACATTGTTCTTTTACACTTGGATTTCAGGACATTACCTAGACAAAAGCCCACCTGAGAGCTGCCTCCTTTCTTGTGGGTAAATATAGCAGCGGGATCAAAAGCTGATTTACTTATTTTGTTTTCCTCTTTGTAACTTTAATCATATTCCCTGCAGGACAAGCTCAGTCCTGAGAGATGTCAGGAATGCATATGCTTAAAGGGAGAAATAATTAGGCATCTTTTTTTTTCTCACTCTCTCTCCCCATACCAATTTCCTGTCACTCACTGGTTTGAAGCCTCAAATAAAACAAATCAATTCCTCAGTTTCACCACACAATTTATAAAGTATCAATTTCATCAAAAATTTTCCCTTACAAATTGTACACCCCCCAAAAATGTATCTCTTGGTTGTTGTTTTTTTTAATTTTATTTTCTCATACTTTCCTCCTGCAAACCACATTCTACTAACACTAGATCTTATTTTCCATATTAAAATATTAGATGTTATTCTGGTCACCTATAGTTGCATAACAAACTACTCCCAAAAAGAGTGTCTTAAAACAATAACTTTAATTGTAACTCACAGTGTTATGGGTCAGTTATTGGAGCAACATGTGGCTGAGTGGAGAAATTACTATCAAAAAATAAAAAAAAAATTTACAGTGTAGAACTGAAGGATTCTACAAACTGAAGGATTTATGGTCAAATACATAAGGAAATCTATTACTTCCACTTATTTTTCTTGGAGACATCACCTCCTTCTCTAGGGATTCTCCATTCTTCTGTTCAGTAACTGTGGATTGTCACTAGGCCTGCTATATGCTATTGTTGTGATACCTCTCTTGGTCATTACCCAGGGAATTCTCTTTGCTTCTCTTCCACGATGTATGCCCCCTCTTTCTTTGGATACCCCTTTTTTAATATTTTCTTCATTATTGAGTGGGTCTGGAAGCATTTCCAAATTGAAAGAACCCATAAATATCTAGCAAATTTAATTTTTAAAAAATATCCATAACACAGCACATCATTATGAATTTATGGAATATTAAAGAATAAATAAAAGATTCCAGGGAGGAAAAAAATGAATCAGAATAGCATCAGACCTTTTATTAACAACACTGGAACTTTGAAAACAGTGGGAAAATGTCCTTGAAAATCTGAAAGAAAATTATATTTTACTTAGAATTCTATACCGAATCCAATGATCAATCAAATTTGAGGATAGAATACCAATATTTTACGACATATGATGTCTTGTAACATTGCCTGTCAAGAAACTTTGATCAGGGAACCACTGAACAACGTGCTCCACAACTACACTGGGGGGACTGGGAAAGGGAAGAGGGGAGTAACCCGCAGGTGGAAAAGGTGTAAGTGCCCTATAAGTAATAGAGTGTTCAGGACAAGTGGTTTTCTAG